GCCCCCCCCAGCCCCGAGTACAGGGGCACAATCCCCTCCCTGCTCCTGCTGGCCACACTATTCCTGATACAGTCAGGATGCTACTGGCCACCCAGGCACGCTGCCGGCTCATGTTCAGCCGACATTCATCCCTGGTCCTTAACACTGCTGGCTAAGAGCCTCTCTTGCTACAGTCAAGGGCTGTGCGGATGTTCATTGATGGTCAGGAGGTCAGTGAGGGGTCTGCCTTCTGCTATAGGGTCCAACTCCTTCCTTGGGATAGCTTCAGGAGAAAACCAAACTGGGGATGGAAGAAGGGAAAGTTCAAAGCTTGATGCTTCCCAGAGCTTTTTTCCCAGACCTGATCATCTAGAAGGAAGCGGCTTTTAGCTCATGAGGGTGTTGGGGATTCCTGTGCCTGGTAATTCCTCTGCCTTGAGGCAACGTTGCTTTCTTGGGATGTTTACTGTGGGTGAAAACTGCTCTTGAATACCATCGCGTCTCGCCCACGGCTCCCAGCCTGGTTTCTCCCCATGCTTTGCAAGACTGTTAGGTTAGTCAGGGACTGTAGCCCTCGCCCGCCAAGGGCTCTGCGGTGGGCTGATGTACTTGAACTGCGCTTGCTGGGGAAGGTGGTGTGGGCTGATAACCCTATCGTGCTCTCGTGCAAGCTCTGCTGCGTCGCTGTTCCATGAAAAGCGATGAAATCCTGTGCCTAAGGCACCTTCCCAAACAGCAGGTGACGAACGCTGTGTTGTTGCTCTGATCACCTTCATGGCCTGGCAGAGTTTGAATGGGGTAGAGAGACTTTTTTAATTCCCCCATGGGGACGGTGAGGCAGCGGGACAGGTTGCCCAGTCTCAGTCCCTGAAGACTTTCAAGACCACAGTGGGTAAAGCCCTGAGAGCTGCTTGTGGCTGGGAGGTGAAAGCAAGACTTCTCTCCTAAGCTGGGTAGAAAAGCACTTTATAAACTTTCAAACCCTCCCAGCTGGAGAAAGCAGCAGCAGGAGGTGCAGAGCCAGAAGCCCTTGGAGGGATGTGGATTTGATTCCTCCAAGTCAGGGTCTGGAGATGGTCCCATTCCCGGGCTGGCCGGGGCTCGGGGGGTCTGTGCGGTGTTGGGGGGGGGATCACCCCCACCATGGCCTGGCTGGTCTCAGCCGGTTGTTTGTGGGTCTGCGTCATCCTCCGCAGCCCCGTGACCGCTGGACCCGCTGCGGCTGGTTTTGGTGCTCACACCCTTCCTTGTCCAAGCTCTGGAGATGTCCGGGGAGGAGCTGGGGGGGGCTCGGCTCTATAGATGTCCGGGCTGGCTCATGGGACGGATTGCGTCTCTATTGTTTTAGCCTTTCAAGGCAACTCCTGACTCACAGAAGAAATATTTGCTTTAAGAGGCAGGTTTCACGCCTGGCGTATGGGAGGGAAAGGGGAAAGTACCTCTGCCCGAGCATCACGGCTGTGCAGCACACGGCATGGCCGGGCATCATCCCTCCCTAAAAGCCAGGGTAGAGGGGCAGAGGCCGGAGGCAGGGGCAGATTTATATCCATTTATATCCATTTATATCCATTTATATCCATTTATATCCATTTATATCCATTTATATCCATTTATATCCATTTATATCCATGGAGCAGCTGTGCCCCGCGCTGGTTGAGAGTCCAAGGGCATCATCCCCTGCAGGGACATGGGGTGCCCAAAGGCCCCCCAAACCCTGATGGGGCGAGCGGCCGTTCCCCTCGAGCATCGTCCCCCCGCAGCTGGAGCGACCCAGCCGGTGCAGAAAGCGCTGAGCCAGCAGAAAGGTGCGCAGTGAGCTGGCGGAAACGGGGCCGTTGGCTTCCCGATCCGCAGCAAGATAACGGGGATAATGCGGAAACGCTGGAGGCCGAGCTGTCCCCGGGGAGCCCGGAGCAGCCCGGGTGTTTCTTGTGGGCACAGGAGCCACGTACCAGCCTTGACATGGGGCCGGTTTCCTCCCCACAAACGCCCTCCCTGTTCCTCTTCCCTACCGTTCCATTTTCTTTGGTGCTGTTGGTTCATGCACTCAGAAATTGGGGAAGGAAAGGGGGCCTGATGTTATCCTAAGGAAGCGTTGGCGAGCCTTTGCCTTGCTGATAACCTGGCACATGGGAATCCCTCTGCAGACCTTCTCCTTATGCTTTGCCAAGGAAATAGCCACCCTGGTAGGGGGGAAGCGCCCTTCACCTGCAGCAAGGGGAGGTTTGGCCGTGGGGTCCAGCAGCTCTGAGCTGTCCCAGTGCTTCTCTCCTGCTCCGCCTGAGCACACTGGGCAGACCAGCTCTTGCCCTTCTCTTTCTTCCCTAGCCCCGTGGGCTTGGGGTGATTTTTAACCCATTTTTTTTTTTCTGTATTTTTTTAACAGGGGGCTGCGTTGGAAGCTGCTGCGGGAGCACTGGGTAGGAGGGACAGGTTGGATCCCTTGGACCCAAGCAGGGGAGGGGAAGAGTTTTACCAAGTCCAAGACAGCGATCGCTATTGCAAGAAGTGCCCTGCAGGTAAGATGGGCTCAGACATCCCACCGCGTGCAGCCTTGCCGTGTTTCTGCCCGCAGAGCCCGTGTGTCCTTGCTCCTTGTGAGGAGGCAGCGGGTGCTCTGGCTCTCCCCTGCTCCACTGTCATGAAATCTAAGGACTCATTACGTGAATGTTTTCCTTTTGACGGTTCCTAATTTGCCTCTTAGCTGCACTGACAGCAGAATCAAGTCCCTTTCTGCAAAGACATCTCTGTCCTGTATGTTCACACACCCCCTTTCTTTTTTTCTCCACCCCTTCTTGCAGGCACCTTTGTTGCAGAGCACTGTAAAGAGCAAAATGGCTCCAGCGAGTGTTCTCCGTGTAAAAGGCATGAATACATCGAGTACCCAAATGACTTTTCCAAGTGCCTTGCCTGCCGGACGTGTAGG